GGGGGCTGTCTTGAAAAGTGAGATTCCACCTTCAGCATCAAAAGGAATCAGAAGCCACAGGGCGTGGTCTACACATGTGGGAGCCCTGCTTGTGGTTCCTCCGGTCTTTAGAATGCAGTAAGGGAGCAGGTGGAATGGAGGAGATGGTGGAGGTGCTGCAGTTGCTGAGGTGAAGATTAGGAAAGCACCAGATTTTCTTACTGCTCTGCTCCCTGTGCCATCCAGAGCCTGAACCCTCAGCCTGGAGCACGGTCCATCAGCACCAGCCCCAGATTGTGTCCTGCCCTGGTGAACCCATGGAAGTTCAGCAGAGGCTTTTTGGCGCTGGGTCACCCTGCAGGAGTTGTGTCATCCTCCTATGCAGGGCAGAGCAAGGAGGAGGACGGAGGAACGAGGCCTTTTTGCAGCGCACGGAGCCAATTCTACCTGAGTTATGTGTTGTCTCTGCCGAACCAACCTCGTGGGAGGCTTTCTTCTGACTGGAATCTGTCACTGCAAGAAATTGTTTCCAAAAAGGAGCACAATTAGGGGTCGGCTTTGCAAACATTCTTGGTGGAATTGAGAGGCAATTGGCACAACCCAGTGAATAATCCCTTTAGGAGCCTTTATGAACCCAGCACAATGCGTGTTTACAGTCCCGCTTATAGACCAGGAGTGTTAACAGGCCTTTAGAAAAATCCAGGTAATTGAAGCTTTTGTCTTTCAATGAGCCCCCGTTGCTTTCAACAGTTGCCATTCTCCACAATTTCTTTAACTTTTTTTTTTTGTTTTGACGAGGGCTTTTGTCCCTCAACAACAGCTGCGTGGGAGGTGAGGCCCTGCCGGGTGGTGGCCTCGGCCTTCGCAGGGAGCGCCTTGGCCTCCTCCTCCTCCTCGCACGTTGGCTCTTAAGACATATTAAATCCTCTGTGGACAAACCAAAGTTTCTCCTGTGACTTCATTGTTCATTTCAGCATCCCTGTGATGCCACACAGCCTCCTCAGTGTCTCTGCGCTGGGCCGGGGCTGTGCCGGGGCGGGCGATGGAGGCGAGAAGGAGGAGGAGGAGGCTGAAGGCCGTGACCACAGAACCCACCCAGCCACTGCAGCCGTGGGGTTTGGCTCGCACACACCCCCAGCGAAGGGAAGGGAAGGGGTCAGCAGTGGTTCTGCTTTTCACAGGTCTGTCAGGGCAGGTTTGGTTTTGCTGTCGTCAGTTTTTCGGTGCTGTTGCTTGTTCAGCAGCCTGTGGGTTCCTGTTTCTCGATGAGAATGTGGGAGGCTGTTTCTTTAACGTGAAAAGAAGAAAACCTACGGGAATTCCGAAACGTGGGGCCTTTTCCACCGAAGCTTGGCTGTATTTCCTTCAGGAGTAGGTGGGTTGGTAGCCATGAATCTCGAGCTTTCCATTTTCGTGTATGTTAAGCCGAAGTCCAGATTTTATAAATATCGGTGGGTTAATTCTTCCCCCATGATCTCCCATCACACAGACTGCTTAGCAGCTTGGGGCCAGTTTGGGGCTTCATTCTGACGTGGGTTGAGATGTGGTGTTTTGGTGGTTTAAGGCCGCACGGTAGGAATCAATATAGGGTCAGTTTGTGTGTGTGAGTGACCCTACGCGGCTGGAGAGGTGGGAGAGGAATTGCTTTCATAAGGCAAACACGAAGTCAGGCAACTCTCTGTCACAAATGCAGTGTTTGAAGCACCCATCTTGCAGTCCCAGCTGCGTGGAGGGCTCTGTGTCCACGTGTGGATCCGCATCCACAGCCCCGCTGGCTTCTGCAGTTGCAAGACTGATGCAATCATGATTAAAGTAAAGAAGATGTAAGCTAAAATGAAACAAAATTCTTTGCTGTCTCTTCCATTTTAAAAGCAATTAATTATGAAGTCTTTACAGATCCTGAATGGGGGAAAATGTATCCTCAGAGAGCAGATGTTTGCTTCATTCGTGTGTCTGTTTATAAAATTTAGCGTGTGGATTTGATGGTTCACTGGCTTTTTGCAACTTTCACTTATCTACATGAGACAAAGTTGCATATTGGTACAAAGCAAAATTAGGCATCTAAATAAAGCAATTCCCTGTAGCAAATGTGGATAGAGCCTTCCCAAATCTTCGTTCGCGAAGCCTCGCCATGATGATGATGATGATGATGATGAAAGCAATTCTGCACCTTTTAGTAATGCAAACCACCTGTAATAGGGTTTTATACTTGTTATAGGCATTTAAATTTTGGAGGTCATATCTGTTTTCAACAATAAAAAACCTGGCCTCTTTCTTTTTTTAAATATCATAATGCAGTAAGAAATAGGAAGACAAGTTTTGTTAAAAAAACAGAGAGGAGGGCTAAAACACTAACTTGTGTTTGAATAGTAATGGTTACTGAAGTTCAAAAAAATTGTTTACATCTGCTGTCAAAATATTTTCAGGCAAAATTTATTAATGTTTATGATACTGAGGTTTTATTAAACCAGGATTCATAGGCAAAAGTGTCTGAGTTTTAATGATAATTTTGAATGTTTTCTAGTCAACAGATTTCTGAGTTTAATTTATTTGGTTATTTTACGGCAGTGTATCATTCTTTAAGACCCTGTAAGAATTAAAATTTGTATCGATATTGCCTGAGCATACAATTTTAAGGAACTCTTGGCTGAGTGCACTAACTTATTTTTATGCTACCCTTATGATAGGTGTAATTCTGTTGTGACATGCTTTAGTCTGAACCATGCCAGTCGAATCACGTCATCAAAATCCTCTGCCTCTAAAATATGAGTGTGCACGTTGAATGAGACTAAAATTGTGACTTAGGATACTTTTGCACAGGCCAGGTTTGAAGGGTAAAATAGAAGGTCTGTGTGACCCACCCTGCTGTGGTGGTGGTTTGGGGGACTGCACAGTCCCTGTAGCATTAGAGCTTGATTGGAGCCCCTCGGGGTGGAGGTGAAAGGCCTCCCTCGAGTCAGCCAGTGCTTCTCAGGAGCCTGTAAATAAGAAGTGGACTGCTGTGACTGCATCTTCCCCCACCCCCCACCTTGGTTGTGATGAATGTGTTGCTTTGTCAGCCTGAATTATCGCTGTCTTGAGCAAGCACAAATGCAGCAGGTACTGGGGCAGCCTTTGCCCAGCAAACCTGTTCCAGCGTGTCTCGGTGGGATGGACAATTAGTCCTGTTCCAGGCCCAGAGCAGAGACTTCTCATTCTTTGTGGTTGCGTGACACAGGTTTGGGGAAGTCAGCACACGGTGGTGATTTATCAGGACTGATTTCACATTTGGTTTGTGAAAAACAGAAACTGTGTTTCCTTGTAATAATTTTCATAAAGTTCAGCGACAGAATAAAAGTCTCCAAAAAAGGCACAAACGGCTTGTGGGAAGGTGTCTACTAAAGACATGGCTGTCTAATGTTCTTGTCTACTACAAAGGAATTGGCTGGGACTTCATGCAGTTTGCTGGCATTAACGCTGGGTATTCCCATAGGACTTGCCCACCCACAGCTCCTGGCCCCTGCAGAGCAGTGTCCTGCCTTCCTGTCATTCCTTCCATTTTTCTTTAGGTTCTTTTTTTCCCCAGAACGGTCACACATACAATTAAATCTGTGTGCATCCTACTAAACAGTTGGATTGCTCTGAGAAAAACGTTCTGTGGATCAGGTGGGGTGGTGTAATATGGTTTCATTTTGAAAGAAAAAGAGATCTTACCTAGTCAAGACTGTAGAAAAACAAGTTCTTTAAATCAGGCATTTTCACTGCAATTAAATGGGAATAAGGAGCCAGCTGAGCAGTTTTCACTGCAAAGTCACTGTGGGAGACCCCTCTGCTGTATTGAGGCTCTTCATGTGCTCACTGTGTTTCAGAGAGCTTAAGAGTAAAAGGTTCCTCAAGTATTTGGGGTCAATCATTTCATGTGCCAAATAAAAGAAGAAGAGATTAAATATTCTCTCAAAAATCAGCAGAAAACTAACAATGTAACAGCTGAAAATTTCTGCTATGTGACTTTAGGGTAAAAGGATGTGACAGGAAAGATTTCCCTTCCCTGCTCCATGAGGAAGTTCTGGACAAAATGACCCAACAGATCCATTTCTTCTTTTACATTCATGATACCAAAGCATGTGCAGCTCTTGGACCATTTCCACACTGGGAGCTTGTCCCTGCTGGCTTGCAGAGTTCCCTCATGTTGACCCAGGGAACTCAGTAGGGTGCTGCCATTTATGGACACCCACCCAGGCCGTCCCCATGAGCTGAAGGAGACAATTCCTCTTGGGCACCAAGGCTACAAAACACCCTGGCCCCTTTCTGTCAACAGACACCGAGAGATTTATTTTTGTTCCCAATTGTAAATCTTTCTGAGCTCCAGCCAGTAAGATGTGCATGTCCTGAAACGTTCAGTGCTCAAGTTATCTCTCCATCGTTTGAGCTGTGAAAATAGAGCATTTCATTTTCAGAGCCTGTAAGAGATTACACTCCAAAAGTCTCTGAGTAAACACTTCCTCCTGGGATCGTGATCTCATTCAAACTAAAAAATGTACCAGAATTTATGATGTATTTTAATTACTATTCTTGGTACCACTCATTAAATTAGAAATTGATTGCCAGTTTCACAGTTTCCTTGTTAGATGACAAAGTGCTTATCAAGGTGAAGCAATGCAAAACTGTTACTATATATTCCCCAATTTGGGATGATAAAATGGCATGCTTTTTGTTGTGGTATTCATGTTACGGTGGTTGTTATAATGCAGCACTGATTGTCTTTTTTGTTTAAAGCTCACTTTCTCCCATCCAAGTAAGAGTACACCATAAA